GACCATGGCAGTATGGCTGTAGGGTAATGACTTTTTCTTGTTGAAATCACTGAAGCCTTAGGAACTAAAATAAAAGAAATAGGACAGAAACTTGGGCAGCCACCCAGACTAAAAAAAATCCCCAACACCTGGAAGGATAAAGTCATCTCTGATGTCCATACAAATACTTTGAACACTCATGCAAATTTAGATCTTACTGAAATAAATTGCTAAAATATTTTGAAAAACCATTCAGCACTCTTTTCTGTCATGTGTATGTGGAGGGAAAAGCACCATATTATGAAATTAGTACCATTTTTGCTAATGAGGTCAGTCCAGGACAAATATGTTATGAGTAAAAGCAAAAAAAATAGGGTGCTCATAGGTGAAAGCATCTTAAAATTCCAATATCTACAAGACAGCAAACGTGATCTTGCTTAAATATGAAAAAAATGCTATTTAGAGTCACAGGGTCTTACTTTTATTATTTTTATTATTATTTTCTATTACTTTTCTGTTCTGTATCATCCTGCTTCTAGTATATCAATTGAAGTGAAATTATTAATCATAAAGTGTTGCAAACTATCTTGAAAGTGTAAAGCTGAAAATTTGGGAAATATTTTTCTACAGCAAACAAACATTTAACAGTACTCTCTTAATGCAAAAATTGTAAATTATTTAAAAGACAGAAAACAATGATGCAGTTTTAGTGGTTTTCAATACATAGTGTCTGTTGTTTCACTCTTGATTTTTAATATTACATTTTTAACTTTTTCTTTGCTTATCTAAAGATGCTTATACATAAAAAACCTCCTCTGCAGAACACACTAAATTAGTCACTGTGCTTGAATGGATTTTTACAGAGGTGCATTGAAATGCAGAAATGTGATCATCACAGCAATGAACAGCCCAAAACTTTATTAAAAATTTTGGTGTTGCTTAGTTCTGTATTTTGATATTGTGAATTTGCTTTCATCAAAGCAGTATGTTAATATATTTTGCAAACATAGAGGGAAGTAAATTCTTGAAAAGAGGCTGGTTTTAAGGATACTCTCATTATGATGAACAAGTACAGGAAGTGGTATTTACAAAAAAAAAAAAATTAGCGTTGCATGAACTGTATTGGGTATGAACTTCAAGTCGGTCCTTTCAGCCTTTTTTCTTTACTTGCACGCGTGATGGATGCGTAGCCTTCAACCAGCAGAACTCACACTGCTGAACAGCCTCTCAGGTGATTTGCCTCATGGAAACCTCCAGCACTCCCAGGCTCTCAGAGTCCCTTTGTCCCTCATCCCTTTCTCCACTCTGTTCCCAGGGCTCGCCGGGCGAGCGTGGAGCCGCGGGCACCGCTGGCCCCATCGGGCTGCCGGGCCGGCCCGGCCCCCAGGGCCCCCCGGGCCCCGCCGGAGAGAAGGGAGCTCCCGTGAGTAACCACAGCCCCTGGAAATATCCCTGTGCTCGCCTCTCGTTCCAGAATAGTGCTTGCTCCCACTCTGTTCAACATGTATTCTCACAACACCGGCCTACTCGTTTTGGATTTACAAATATGTACACAGTAAAACATTTCTCATCGTGCTGTATGAGACCGGGAGTGTTAAACCTGTTACTGTCAAAGCAGGGAGTGGATATAAATCAGTCATTCATTAAAACTTTGCACCCAGCCACTCTGCATTAGAGTACAAGTGCATTTGACATCAGCTTCCATTATTACTACATATAATTCTCTTATATATTCTCTTCCCTTGATAGTTTTCTTTCTGTTGGGGTGTTTTCTGTTTTGTTGGGGGTTTTTTTTGGAGGGGGTGGGTGTTTTAATTTTGTGTTGGTATTGGGATTCCCTGTCCTGAAGTATTCATTACTCTCCTGTGATAATGTGGATTGTTTCATTTTCTTCAAAACCAGGGTGAAAAAGGTCCCCAAGGCCCAGCTGGACGTGATGGAATACAGGGTCCTGTAGGACTTCCTGGTCCTGCTGGCCCCAGTGGTTCTCCTGGAGAAGACGGTGACAAGGTGAATCATTGTAATTGGTTATTAGTGCATCCGGGAGAAGATCTGTCAGTTCTCTGTAGCTTTCCTGGGTGACAAAGCAACAGCTCTTATCCCTGCCTCCCCCAGATTCCCTCTGCCTACTGCAAAAAAAACCTTAAAACCTCTCCTATAACCAAATGTCTGAGGGACATGGGACACAGGGAGCTGTATTAAAGAGCTAGTAGAATAACATTTATCCTGGCAAAGAAACAAGGATAAAAGTGTGGCAAAAGATGCCAAAATTCATTTTTGCCTGTTTTAGAAATTTGGTTTACTGAATGAGTAAGATGAAATGTCTTCAGTAATATACAGGGATTTCAAAACCACCAGAGATTGTGCTGGTAGGTTGAGGGTGTCAAAATAATTATGTTCACAGCAGAGATGTCCTGTTGACCTCTGGCAGAACTTAAAATATGACACCTTTCAGGATCATCTGGTGTGGTTGCTTGACCAAGCACTTTTCTTTTAGTTAGCACAGGGTAAAGGTAAAGATTTTAACATTCATTTTTGTAATTCACGAGTGTTATTTATCCCATAGATGGTATTTTCTGTGATTTAATTTAATTGTCTTTTATTATTGTATAAAGAAAACATTATTTTCTAATGTGGTTTCTTGGTGATTTGAATAATTTTGAAGTTTGGAAATACTGTACACTCCAGTGAGAAGCAGTAGTTCAGTCATAAACAGTTACATGAGTCTATAAATCAGGCTACTTTCATTATAAGTTCATATTGAAGGTGACATAAGCAACACAATTTCCTTTATTTAGAGCTCAGTAGCATTATACTTCAAAGCCAGGTCTTGTTGCCCTTTTCAATTCAGCAATCAATATCTAGATTAATATGACATATTATTGATTACTGCAGAACTGCTCCCTTTAGGCATTCACTTGAAGCAGCAGCATAAAACATAGAATAATCATATCAAAGGGAACATTTGGAGATACCATGATATTGACTTCAGCTGAGTGTGAAGGAGAACATTTTAAACAAGTTTAACGTTTAACTTTCAATTACAGGGTGAAATTGGTGAACCAGGTCAGAAAGGTAGTAAAGGTGACAAAGGAGAAAACGTGAGTAGCAAAATCCTTTGTGCATTACATCTATTCTTTATAAATAAAAGGTATTCATGCATGAAGTATGCAGGTAATTTTGATACATAAATGAGCAGAAAAAAAGACACACTCCTAAAACGTTCCTTCAAAACAATGTTCTTTTAATGCAATGCTAGAGGTTTGTACTTACAGATCCAGGCATGTATTTATTACTGCTCATATTCCTAGAGTTTACAGAATCATTACAAAATATAAATTACTTTCTTAAGCACCCTCCTGTATCACTGAAACTCCTCCATTCTGCATTCGAACTGAAGAGACCACAAATTCCCATACATTCCCTTACTGTGTTGAACTTCACTGACTGCACTGTGTGACCATTCCCAGCTTTGGCTTGTTAGCCATGAGGATGGAAACTGTGGAGACTCAGCAGAGGACTCTACTAATGTAGTTTTAAAAACTTCCAAAGGATATCTACTTCCTGGGCAGCACAATTAACTAAAGGCAGATGAAATGGCTTATTCAAGTTTTCATATATTATCATTAGGCCTCTTAGTGAACCTAGGAATAATCAGGTTTCTACTGTTTTGATTTGACATTTTTCTATCTTCAAAAATTATTTATAAAGTTCAAGCACTTCCTTTTTTTTTTTTATTTAGGCCAGACATATAAAATTAAGCTTTTTTCATTGTGAAATTTGAAGTTAGAAAGAATAAAACTAGCATTTATTTATTTCCATTTGATTTTGGCTTCTTTTCTAAAAACTCAAAATGGTATGTTTTCAATTCTGTTCAAATTCAATATAAACTGGTACTTTACTTGAATAGTTTTCCTTGAGAAACAATTGAGAAGTAATGGCAGAAAGATCCCTTTTATTGCTATATTTCAACACTATTCACAGTTAGCAAAGCTCCAAACTCAGCACAGGGGTATTCATGGCTAAGTAAATTTATCTTGAAAACAGTGTGACTTTTGAGATTGACAAGTTACAGAACAGTATGTTACTTTAAAAAATTACACCAAATTTATGTCTTACATAATATCAGATTATATTTATGGGAGGATATGTACATACTCAAGCAAATCACAGGTCATAGAATCACAGAATGGCTTGGGCTGGAAATGGGCTTTAGGATCAGCTAGTTCCAGCCTCTGATCCAGTTCCACTTCAGGCTTTGCATGTGGTCACAGGCATATCCTGTTTTCCCCTTTGCCATGCCTCTTCATTAGAAATGCTTTGCATCAGAGAAATCCAGAGAAAAAACACAAGCTGCACTCTTCTGTTTCAGATAATTTTAGCATAGCTAGTTATGCTGAGCATTAGACTGTGACCTCAGTTCCCATAGTGAGTACTGATGCATTTGGGCCTGCTCCAGCAGACCTGCTTTAAAAATAAAATGTCTGCAGCATTATTATTTGAGAATGTATCCTGGACTCCCAGTCTCAAGGTTTAATGCATTTGAGAATATTACACATTTTTTCTTGAAGTACAGTATTCAGTGTTGAGGCTTAGTTGAAGTGAATGTAACTCTGGTTGAAGTCACATGTCTTGAATCTGCAATCAGTTTGCCCTCAACTGCAGTCATTCACTGACAATTTCAGAATGTTTTCATTTTAAATCTGCTTTCCTTTCAACATGCTGACAGATGCCTGTTGGAGCAGGGAGAAAGGGCTTGTTGGTCACCTCTGAAAGGTTCTGACAAGGAAGTACCAGTTCTGGAATCACAGGACATAAAGAACAGATATTTACAATCTCAAACCACCCACAAAAGGCCTTGGTGGGCATTTAGAGCCTGATCACAGCAAGGATCCTGATCAAAGAAGTGATTCATTTTTCCTGTTTAAGAAGAGCTGGAAAAATCTTCAATTCCCCATTGAAACTAACAAAGACTTCTTTTTGTGGGTTTCCTGTGCCTAACTATGTTGGCACAGGAAAATCTGTCCTGTGCCTAACTATGTTGGCCTATTCTAGTTAAGACAGCACAATTTTGTTGTTGATGTGCTGTCCTCCCTTGAACTTCAAAACCTCCCCAGTTATCGCAGCTGCCTTTATTAACTGAGGATTCTCTCATTATACTGATCAGTCTTTCTCCATTTGCCCTCCAAAGCAATGGCTAAAAAGAATCTGGCCATGTGTCCAAGTAACTCCTCATTAATCAACTGCAGAGTACGTTCCAACAGTGCTTAATATCAAAATGGTTTTTTAAATTAGTTTAAAAATGTGTAGGCCTCATTCCAGAGCCTATAAAATGAAGGAGCACATTGAAGCATCTTGAAGAGTGTAGAAAAATCCATGTATGCCAAATCTCTTTCTCATGGTAACACTTGCCAGTCAGCTGGAGCATTCCTCAGAGTCCTTTCATTTAGGCATGTCACCACAGAGGCTAGCAAGCTTTGTTTCATGTATTGCCATCAGGTATGGGACAAAAATACAACTGTAAAAGAGAAGAAATACAGAGCTTGATGCTTCATACTCCCTAGAAAATAAAATGGTCCAAAATATATATAAAACCCAGAGAACGAAATAGACTGCGAGACTTAAGAAGTCCCTTTATTTAATTCTCCTTATAAAAGGCACAATAATCTGATTTTATCCCTAGCAAACTCTATAAATCATGGCATTATTCTGCTCTAAACCAGAATTTGAAGCCTAGAAGTTGCAGGCAACTTGGCATCTGAATAGACTAAAATTAGCCAAGGTCAGGTGTTGAGTTTTGTGCCTTCTTAGCATAACTCTTCATCAGTCTACTTCCTCTAGTGTGGCAAAAACAAGATTCAAACTACTACATTTACATCATAAAGTAGGATCTTGCATTCCTGTACTCTGATAGCTTCATTATATCATATCTGCATGACTGACTTCTAATTACGTGCAATATAACTTAATTATCATTCTGCAGGGGGAATGAAAAAAAGACATTCCTCTCAGGGACTGGGGTTTTTGGTCATTCTGTTGAAAAGAGACTTAATGTCAAAGAAAATGTGATTCCCAGTGCTCAGCAAGAACTTGCACTTTTTCATGTCTCCTAGAGGTGAAAATAAGCTTTGTGCCATTGCAAAAATAATTAGCAGTTTCATAAAAACTACTCCAAATAATAAGCATTTGAATTAAAGATAGATTTTTAGATGATGCTTTAAAGTTTGAGAGATATTTGGCATAAACCTCATTGAAAGTTTTCATATTTTTAATTGTGAAAAAAAAATTCATTTTGATTCATGTTCACATAGAAATTTATTCTGAAACATTAAAAATGAGCTTCTAACTAATGCCAACATTGTCTATTATAGGTGTGAAAATCGGAGTTTTTGAGAGTTAAATAGTTTGTACTGAATGGAAAGGACTTGTGATTTTGGAAAGGACTTGTGATGCTACATCCTCTATGGAGAAACATGGAAATGCTGAATAGATTGTGGTTGTGCAAGTGGGGATTCCTGTCATGTCTGTATTTGCTTTTAATCTCATTGCAGATGTCACAATCACCAACTTGTCCTTTGAATTGTGTTTGTTGCAGGGTCCTCCAGGTCCCCCAGGTCTGCAGGGTCCCGTTGGAGCCCCAGGGATTGCTGTAAGTGGCTCGTTCAGAGCCAACCCCAACCTTGCATAACTCAGTGGATCCTGACTTCTCTGAACTGTTTGCTCCTTTCTCAGGAATATATTTCAGAACACCACTAACAGTTCTGTCCCTGCCCACTTACTTGCAGTTCTTTATTGTAAACAAACCTGTGTGGGTGTTACTGTATGGCAGATTTACAGCAGGGCAATAATTTGACAACATTATTAAAAATTAAATACTGTAAATAGTGAATGGGGACCATCCTTTCAGTGAACTTGTTTTGTTGTGTGTTTGGCAGGTTGGTACGGATGCAGTTAAAACAGAGTGTCTTTTTTAAAATCCACCTGATACCAAGTGAATTAATTCTTATTTTTATTTAAAAGGCTCTGAATTCTTTTACCCTGAATATTGGTGATACTCATATATACATTGGTATTCAACAGCTAGAATGTTTATGCCAATGTGATAGAGAGGGGGAACTCAGGGAAAGTTTCTGTGAGAAATGCAGCACTAATTGACCTATATTAAACCAGAGCATGTGCTGACATTCTGTTTGTGCAACAGATTTCATCCAGCCAAGATGATGAACATGTATTTGTGAGGACACTTGGTGTGATTCTGAGCCCTTTTCTAGCTGTTTCCCAGTCATTTCCATGCTGCTTTTACTGTTGTTATTATCAGAGCTGTGATAGTTTTGCTCTTCATTGTTTCCCAACAGGGAGGTGATGGAGAGCCAGGCCCAAGAGGTCAGCAAGGGATGTTTGGGCAAAAAGGTGATGAAGGTCCTCGAGGCTTCCCTGGGCCCCCAGGCCCTATTGGCTTGCAGGTAAATTCCTTTATTATTTTACCTTACAGCTGTAAAACAAGATGTAACAGAAAAAGTGTAAGAACACTGATTTCTGTGTCAGAAACTGAATGACTACTGTCTATTATTCAATAAATGATAGCATCATTTAATTAGAATGGAAAGATCCCATATTGATGGGGTTCATGCATAAACAATAGATTTAGTGCAGCAGGACTTTATATATATATATATATATATATATATATATATATATATATACACATCAGAGCATTAAATTATCCAGACTCCCACCTAAGCTCTGGATAATCCTGGCAGTGTTTTTAAAATCACCCAGTGTAGCATTTCTGTGTGCATTTTTGGTGGGTTTTTTCCCCCCCAAAGTTATTGTATCACTTAGTTTAAGCATCCTAGGATTACCTATATATTTACTTTAATATGAAAAGCTCCCTTCCGTTTCTTTCCATTTTAATGCAAATAGGTCTTTTTCTTCTTGTTCCACCATCCTGCCTCCTCCCAAGTTCACAAGTTTGATGTGTAGATCTGATTGTTTCATAATCATTTTTAACTAATCATTCCAGGGACCCTACTTACAGTATTCTTCCCCATGTTTTTTAGGGTCTGCCAGGCCCACCAGGTGAAAAAGGTGAAAATGGAGATGTGGGCCCAATGGTAAGACTTCTTCCTCACTGGTCACTCTACAGGACATAAATATTCTCCATACATTATTGTCTTTTCTCTATTGCTCACCATTTGATAAGATACTCCTGAATTTGGTGACTGAGTATGAAACATTTTGTGTAACATAAACTCTCTCTGGGATTTTCTTCGCTTTCCCACATCTACTCCCTCATCATTAATATTGAGATTTATCTAACATGAGAAAATACTGAAAAATAGATAGCAAAGCAGATGCTCTGTGTGTCTGAGATGGTCCAGTGACAATCAGGTTCAAGAAAGAAAGAGGAAAAGTAGATACCACTGCACCAGAGAGTCTGGAGCTGCCTTCCAGGTTCAGGCCATTGTTATTAACACACAGTGTCAGGTATGCAGGCCAGGAGATGGGAAACCCTGCTTGGCTCTGTTTACTTCCCTGGGTGATGCATTTTCCAGCTGTTCCTCTTGCTGACAGAACACCTTGTGGGCTGTTCCTGAGTGCTGTGCAAGCTCTCTGCTCTATACCTTTGCCTCCAACACCTTGTGCCAAGCCTGGGTGCTTCACTCCTGCCCATCTGTAGGCACCATGGTGCAGCTCTGCCCCAGGGCTGTCACAGACACTTGAGCTGCTCCAGGTCTCCGGCAGTGGGATGGGCAGCAGGGAACCTGCAGGGAAAGAACCAATCCTCAGGGGCTCCTAAGCATCAGGCCATGTCCAGCTCAGGTACTGTTGACACAGCCTGGGCCTCCTGTCACCTTTCGAACTCATCCAGCAGGCAGCAATCTGGCCATGCTGTTCCTGCTGCATGGTGAAGATTAAAAGCCCTCTACAGATTAAATATATTATTTTTCATTGGTCAGAAATTCTTCCTGATTGTAACTCTACTATATCTGTTCTGTAATTCTGTTAAATCACATTGTCTCTTTGATACAGGGTCCACCTGGCCCACCAGGTCCCAGAGGTCCCCAGGGTCCTAATGGAGCTGATGTAAGAATCAACCTATTTTTTGTCTTGCTAATTGAGTAAGAAGCACCCTATTTTGGATGACCATATTTTGGGTAACAAAAATCTTTTGTCACTGTAGGGTCCTCAAGGTCCCCCAGGCTCAATTGGCTCTGTTGGAGGTGTTGGTGAAAAGGTGAGTGTGGATGGAAACCCCCAAGGAAGAGAAAACATGGGAATAGGAATGCTATATGACATTCATTCATTAAAATTATTTTCATTGCTATTTTCAGTTCTCTATTCAGAAATTTTTCTGCCAGGATATGGAGTGAGTTTGTTTGGGATTGGTTACTTTCATATTTTACCCAAGGAACATACCAGATTGTATCTACCTTGTTTTAAAGGAAAGATGAGATATGCAGGGATATAAGGGCTTTTTTCCCTGTGATTAATTTGAAGCAAGAGAGTAAACTATTATATAGTGCTGAGCAAGCAAGAAGTTCAAAAGAGAGTCTTAAAGTGCTTGTTTATGTTTATTTTATCAAGCTACATGACCTCAACCACATCATCTATATAAGCCTAAAAGCCTTTTGCTGTAATGTTACAGGTTTAACATTAATTTTTTTCCTGAACTTTGGAATGGGAAAGAAGATCCTGAGTGGAGCAAGAGATGGAGGAAACAAAATAGAAATATATTCCAGGCCAATATATAAATTGCTTATTGAGAAACTATGTAGATTGCTCTTGAGTATTTAATGATTTGTCACAGAGTATCACATATGTTCAAAGAAACACCAATGTCAGTGAATCCTAGAAAAGACATCTCTAGGAATGTCAGTATTGGTAGTTTTTCAGAAAGCTTTCCATATTTTTAACTTTTCAGAACATGAAGCAAGATTTCCCTTTTTCTAACTAAACCAGCCTTTTAAAAGAATTTCCAGATGTTTCATGGTTAGGTTTTTTTTTTTCCTACATGCCCATCAACTACATCACTTACCAGTACTCTGGGATATGGCAAAGAATGTACTAGAATAATATAACATAAAATTTGGTTTGATGGAGAAATATCCTATTTTGTGTCCCTTACTGTCCTTTGAGACCAAAGAGATGTCATTGTGTCAAGCTGCAGTGCTTCCTTCTCAGGATGTGGCTCTGAGCATCAGCTCGCCTCTTGGGAGCAGCAGCATTCTGGTGTTTTCAATCTTTTTCCCCAAAATTGCACAAGACGCACAAAACATGATGCCCTCCTGCTTGACTGCATTATTAACAAGGATATTCCTTCTAATGTCCCAAGTTCATTACATTGTTCATTCACTCTACTTTAGAAAATATCTTGGCCTCATGAAGAACTGCAGGATTTGTTTTCTTCTCTCTGGGAAGAGTTCCAAAAATGTGACACAATCTAGGAGTTGAGAGAAATAAAAAGTTACTGGGAAAAGAGAGTCTGTATTTCAGTGGAATACAGAAAATAATGGG